TGACTATAAACAGTCATCAGAATGTTTGATACATTGTTCGATTGAATAAGTATCATACCTGTGTAGAACACCAAGAACACATAGCTTAATAAAACTTCCATTTAACTTATTTTAACAGAATTATGAATACCTTTTAACTAAATATTTTCTAGAGGACAAACTTCACATTTATAACATCTTGGTGGATTACAAAAACATGCAGAGTATCACACCAAGGACAGGTGCCAAGGACAAAAAGTAAGCTCAACAGCAATATATAAAGAATTAAAATAATTTCCAAGATTTATGATACATTTATGAAAATTAGTGTATAGAATAAATGCTCTAAAATAACACACCAAGGGCACATTACATAACATGCAACATGCCTTTTGGATTTGTACTTATATCTAGATGTTAAAATTTATTTCCATAATACTAACAAAATGTAGTATTATAATAGTTTGACTTCCTGGTCGATTAATAAACGAAATCATCAAGATACATATTTTGTAAATACCTAGACATGAATAATCTGTGCATATGGTAGCACAGCAAGAACATACAACAACTCAAAAAGAATGTGTAATGTTGGTTTTACACCAAGATTATAAATAAAAATAATCATTCTTCAATATTTCTATATAAAATTTTTTTTAATAAACTGAGCAACTTAAAAATATATAATTATAAAGGGTTTGAGTTTTTAAAAAACATCAATAAAACATGCTTAAACATGTGTACATACTACTAGAAAAAAGGTGCTATTTTAAAAATGCAGCTTTATAGATTTCTTAAAATAAAGTAAATATATTTAGGACACATACTATCAATAATTCAATTAGTTTGATATAAAGAATATAATATTATTTAGAAAGTTACAAAAGAAGGTCTAAACATTCTGCTGGAAGTTCAAGTTCCTTTTTTGATTCTGAACTTCGCCTCATAGAAGTGATAAAGGGGTCTGATGAGCAGAGCAATCTTCTCATTACATCTTCATTTGTAAGTTTTCTAGAAAATTTTCTTGTAAAATGTTCTCGAAAATTTTTAACATCTTTATTTCTACTTTCCTGGGCTTCTTCAGATAAGAGGCCAATTGGAACTGGCTTGTTTTATACAGCCTGGTGTGAATGTAAAATCATCTTGTGAACTTCAACTGGTATAGGATACCATTTAAAATGGGCTACATATGTCTTAAATGTTTCTTTGCAATATAATTCTAGTTTATCAGGATCGATTGGGTGTTTACAGGACAACACACAAAGGATAATGAAAAATCTTTTAACAAGACCCTTATCAATTCCAAGTATTTCAGCAAAAGTTTCATGGCTTCTAAATGCCCTTCTTGCTGTGTTTCCATCATTAGATGTACCAGAGCCACCACTTCTTGGTACATCAACAACAAGTTCAAGTGTATCTTTGATTTTTTCCTGAGTTTCTTTTTTTCTACTTGCAACTATATTTTTCTTTTCAGGAGTGTTTGCATAAAAAAATCCACAATCATTGTACCCTGGTCTTCTTCTCAGTCCAATATGTAACAGACATTCAAAACAACGAATCCAGAGATGGAGAGTGTGGATTCCCAAGTCCAAAGACATCTGATTAGGTTGTTTATTATAAGCAATCACAAAGTCATTCATTTTTTTAGGATTTAATCCACATATATTGCAAACTTAATAAGAATCAGTTAATGGAGAAAGAAGAGTGGAAACTTTTCCGTTAATCATAGTACATTCTAACTTGTGCTTGACTTGAAATAAGTCTATGGTTGTTGTTCTGAGTTCAGTTGACATAAAAAAATCATATTCTGCTTTAAAAGTTTGCTGATTTTCTTTAACGTATTGCATTCGAACAGGGCGACAATATTGGGTTGAGGATGTTCGGGGTTAGTCCAAAGAATAACATTAGTTTCCTGAACTTTAAGTTGCACAGGTACTGTACATGTAAAAAACAAAGATTCTTCAACTGAGAATGACAATCTGTCCTCTTTATATTCAGTTCTCTGTTTATAAACAGACTGTCCAGTTGGACCATCGAATCCGACTTTGCTTATGAGAAGAAGAGTATTGCAAGGCTCAGGTAGTTTTGATTTATCAATAACTTTCCAAATCCTGTTTGTAGTGTGATCCATTATTCCTTGAAGATTCACAGAAGCACTGTAGTTTGTGGTAACAATTCCAGAATCTAGAATACAATCACTTTTAGATTTCACAATAAAGTTGTAGGCAGGGTATAACATGCAACCTTTATTTAAGGCCCCTTGACGGACAGTTTGATAGTCAGCCTTACTCATTCTACAGTCTAACATTAAAGCTAAAGCTTCTTCAGCTGAGTAGACTTTAGAGCATGATACATTGAAGGATCCATCAACTTTACTTTCCATCATATGTTTTAAAACTTTGGCGTATTTATTTCGTCCTTCTTTATTTAGATTAAGGATAAGTAAGTACTAACTCTTAACTTTTCAGTAATCTCTGAAGATCTTCTTTTCTTAGACCTTGTTGAGAGATCTTCAAATGATTTTGATGGTGCACCTCGTTGTAAATGGTTTATCCTAACTTGCTGTTGAAGTTCATTTACAATAAATTCATATTCAAATTCATCCATATTTAACCATTTCTCGTAACGATTTATAAATCTCCCTTTTTGTCTACCTCTCTCATTCCATTTCTTTTTAAAGTTTTTCATAAATTTTTCGGTTAACTTTATCTGATTGTAGTTCGGATAACATTGAGACATCAATATACAAATTTCAGTTTTCGCTTTCTTGCTAATTAAAATTTCATATTTATTATCAAATTTTCCTTTAATTAAGTAATCGAAAATGTCTTTGTTCTTCATATTTAAATTTGATTTCGCCACTATAGTGGTAAAAGGTATTTAGTGCACAAAGTAATTACTGCAAATATTTGTGAATATTTCTACTCGTCTTTTCCGCTTTTATTCTAGAATATTCTGCTATTCATATTCGCGGTTGAACTTGTTAAAAAACATAGGGAGTGTGAGGGGGAGCTGAATTTTAGTTTAAGTATGTCATGTTTAAACTGACCCTATAGACACAAAAGCAAACAAATGCAGCCAAAACTTTTTCAGAAGTTTTCTATAAACATCATTTTTTCAAATGCGAAAAATTTCAAGCTGGGCAAACCTGGGCGAACATTTTCCTGATTGTTCAAAGTTTTATTTTCAAACAATTAAAAAAAAAAAAAGTGTTAAACATGCGGTAAATTGTGTCTTTTTTATGAAATTTAGATTTTAAATTATTTTATATTGATCCTCCATATTTTATAAGAATATTTAAAAAAATTGGTATATCTGTGACATTGGTAGGAGTGAGAATGTATAAAAGTTTGCAGACTGATTTTTGCCCAAAAAAATATAATTTTGTGTCAATTTTTGAACTTCAAACCCTCCTTAAACAATTTTTTTCTTAATAACGGACCTTAAAAATTTAAATCTGATTTTCACATACTATATATAATTCAATTTTTAAATTGTTTTCATTATAAAACAAAGTATGTTTTTGTATTTATGACATGGTACTGGACCACTGTGCAATGGTTAACATGTTAAAATATTAAAAAACCATTAATTTTGTGGTCAGATAAACATGAATCTTGCATTCAACTTTATTTTGTAAATAAGCTAGCTGATCTAAACATCGTGTTAATCTTCGACCCCCTCCCCCTAACCGCAACCACTGATATAGGGTTATTTGGATCTATCAAAGCAGCATGGTTAAAAATGGTGACGAAGAGTTATAAAATAAAAAATGCAACTTATGTTACAAGAAACATTTGCTTATCTTTTTATCCCGATGGACTCAAAATCAATGACTGAGGTGAAAATTAAAAGTGCTTTTAAGAAATGCGGATTACAGCTATTTAATCCTGATGGTGATTACACAAAGTTAACCTTTATTATAATAACCAATATTATATTTGAATGAAAGTACGCAGAATAAACCAAAGATCTCTTCTAATAATATAATGCCAAGATTGATAATATATATATATATATATATATATATATATATATATATATATATATATATATATATATATATATATATGTATATACATATATATATATATAACGACGTTTTCCATATTCGCGCATAGCAAATTTTTCTGTCGATAAGCGTAATTGCCAGTAAACATTTCTGGCAATTATGCTGATACGTTTCGCTCAGCGAAAAAAAAGTCGGATTTATTTCGGTTTTTTGGCGAATAGTTAACGCTGAGCAATGAACTCGTTAACTCAATAACGTTGAGTAATAAAATTTTTTCTCAGAAAAATGTTTCATCCAAAAGTTGGCTAAAACAACTATGAATTCGCCATGAAATTTTAAGGATATTTTTTAGATTTTTCTTTTCTTTAATCAGATCTGGTTAAATTTAATTTTTAATTTGGATCGTGCACCTCAAACGTAAAACAATTTTGAGACAAATGGTGCTTTAAAAATGAAAAGTATATTTCGATTAAGGTAAAATAACCGAAAATTCTAATCACGTGATTTGCGCTGAAATGTCTTGACCAAGATCCACACAAATATCGATTGCATTTATTAAGCTATTTAATCGCAGTGATTAAGGCGAATTTAAAACCGCATTGCGATTACTTAATATCGATATCGCAAAAATGACCGTAGTTCCTAATAATACATTGCGATAACGCCAGTGCTTGGGATGAATACCACCGGCCCCTTTCTAATAATATAATGTCAATAAGAATTGTTTCACGTCAAGGTAAAAAGCAAAGAAAGAAACAAAAAATTATTTGGCGTCATCGAAGATTCTCGACTTAACGATAGCACATATATACTTTCAAATTTCTTTTAATTAAAAAAGACATGCATTCGCAAGAAAATAAGCACAACATATGCTAAAAACCTAGTATGTCTCAAAGATATTTACTTCACTCAGTTCCTAACAGATTACGCATTTAAAATTTCTTAAATATCAGAGTTGTATGCTTTTTTCTCTTAAAGCAAATTATTTATTGTAATTGTAATACATACATAAAATAAAAAATATTTTTGGTTTATTTTCATACAAAGAATTTGGTTCTTGTGCACTTATGCATAAGTATCTTACTTTTTCTAGTTGCTTTTGACCGTAAAATGCACAAGTCTTTGATGGGAGACTATCGATACACCCAATATCAGGTGGCGATTCAAGGGGTTAACGGGAAAAATTCAAAATTTTAGTTTTGTTTAGCACCGCTTTCACTTGACGATGAAGAGTTATTTTCTCTGTCAGATGCCATCTAAAAATATATATATATATATATAAATATATATATATATATATATATATATATATATATATATATATATATATATATATATATATATATATATATATATATATATATATATAAAACAATTAAAATGACATTATAAACAATTAAGAACAAAAATTTCTAACCTTTTTGTAAACCATTTCAAAAAGCTTTAGAGATTTTTGTTGTAATTTTTGGAAAGATTCTCTTAATTCTTCAGCAGATTTAATTTCGTCTTTTTTCTCTAAGACCTTTCGAACGTTAGCTATTTCGGTCTTTAATTCTTCATACTAAGTTAAAATTTAAATATTAAGTTAAAAATTTATCAAAACAAATATTGATTATATTTAAATACTTTACAACTTACCTCTTCCTTTGGAAGTTGATCTTTATACTCTTCCATCTTAGACTCAGTATCATGAATAACACTTTCTGCTTGATTTGCTGTTTCAACTATTTCTTTTTTCTTTTTATCTTCTTCAGCAAATTGCTCTGCTTGACGCACCATTTTTTCTATATCTTCTTTACTTAAACCTCCACTTGATTGAATAACGACTGAAATAAACTATTAATAATTAATTTCCACTTTAAACAAGATAAAAAATTACACGATAGAAATTTCTATAAAAATTTAATATTGGTCAATAAATTACACTCACTTTGTTGCTCTTTACCAGTTCCCTTATCACGAGCAGAGACATTTACAATCCCGTTTGCATCTATGTCAAATGTAACTTCAATTTGAGGAACTCCTCTAGGAGCTGGTGGAATTCCCACTAATGAAAACTGTCCAAGTAATTTGTTATTTCCAGCCATTTCACGTTCTCCCTGATAGCATTTAATTTCAACTTGAGTTTGTCCATCTGCAGCTGTCGAGAAAACCTGACTCTTTTTTGTGGGAATAGTAGTGTTTCTGTTAATAAGTTTTGTCATAACACCACCTAGAGTTTCTATACCCAATGAAAGAGGAGTTACATCTAGAAGAAGAATATCTTTCACTTCTCCAGCGAGAACACCTCCTTGAATAGCTGCACCAATAGCTACTGCTTCATCTGGATTTACAGCTTTACTTGGCTTACGACCAAATATCTCTTCAACAATTGATTGCACCTAAAACGATTTAAACATTTTAGTGAATAAAGAAAGTAACGGCAATTTAAATAAACTTATTTAAAATAATCTATAAATAAATCTTGTTGAAAAGATAGAAAAAAAAAAAAAAAATTAAATAAAGAACTATTTTAAAACCTTTGGCATTCTAGTCATTCCTCCTACTAAAAGAACTTCTCCTATTTCGCCTCGGCTAACTCCAGCATCTTTAATAGCTTTTTTACATGGATCAACTGTTTTCTGGATAAGATGATTAACAAGTTGCTCCAATTTGGCTCGAGTCAGTTTTAAATTCATGTGCTTTGGACCACTTGCATCCATAGTTAAGTAAGGAAGATTAATGTCAGTTTGCTGGGAAGAAGATAGTTCACACTTAGCTTTTTCAGCAGCCTCGCGCAATCGTTGAAGTGCCATATTATCTTTCTTGACATCAATACCAGTCTTAGATAAAATTTTTACTTAAAATGATACTTAAAAGAAAACCACTTATCAAAATAATCTACACAATATGAATAATAATATTCTACTGTAATTTATAGCTTAATTTGTACCACATTGTAACTGCAAGTACAGTTTAAATTAAATTAAATTTGATAGTACAACAAATATAAAAAATCTTTTCATTTTATTTTAGCCAAATAAAATAACTACCTTCCAAGTTAAGGTTCAATTGACACAAATAATATGATAAAGTTTGATGTTATCCTTTACACTAATATAACCTTGTTTCTCTCATGCATAGTAAAACTATTACAAACTGATTAAACTGTTAAGCAGTACTTTTATAAACGATTTACATAATTCTTATATTGCCAAAAATTTACAGATGTATCTAGTTTTATGTGTGTTAGATGTGTGTTATATGCATGTCTTATGCATATATTATAAGGTCATATTATTATAATTGAACTAACAAAACTTAATTAACAATACAAGCAAAAACTAAAAAACTTACATCTCTCTGAAACTCTTTGACGAGATATTCCAATAAAGCCATATCAAAATCTTCACCACCTAAGTACGTATCCCCATTTGTAGACTTGACTTCAAAAACACCTTTATGTATTTCCAAAAGAGAAACATCAAATGTTCCACCACCAAGATCATAAACTGCAATACTTAAAAAAAAAATTCAAAAACTTGATATATTTTATAGCTTTTAATTTAATAAAAAATATTTAACATTTAAAAGAATAAAGTTTTTGATTTCATTTCAATCTTTAAAGTATTTTGATTTTGTTGCCATTACAATTTTATATATAAAATATGTTTATATATATGTAAAAAACATATACATACATTTGATCATCACTTCTTTCCATTCCAAATGCAAGAGCTGCAGCTGTGGGTTCATTAATTACACGAAGAACATTTAAGCCTGCTATTTGGCCAGCATCTTTTGTAGCCTAAAAATATGAAATACTAAAAATACTTTACGAGCCTAAAAACCCATATTATAATAAAACATTTAAGTTAGGAACACAAGCATATGTCAATAATTATTTATTTAGCTGAACATATAATATTTAGATAAATACAAATTTATTAAATTATGCTAGTCAATATCACTGATGATTTCATACTAAACCACTAACAGTCTATACCAATCAGGTGACAATAAGGCAAACAATATTTATGTATAAAAGAATAGAAAATAAAAGAATAATAATAATTTAAAAAAACATTTTCTTAATTTGGAAATTAGGCTGTAGTGGGGCTGCACTAATTTTGTAAAAAATCATGTTTGACACTTATCACACCCTTGTACCATGCATAACTAGCAAATGTGTATCTCCACACAGTTTGCTATCATGTAAAGTTGCGTCAGAGGTTTCAGGTTGTGAGGGTTTGACTTTTTGAGTATGGCAAAACATAACCATAGATTTTCTGTTAAAATGCGGCAAGCCATATTCCTGGCTTTTAAAGTGATCTTCAGAACTATGACCTTTTGGGCTAAAATATTAGTTTTGCTAATTTATAAATGTTACCACTGATTAGTACATAACCTCTTTCTTTTAATATATTATTTATATATTCTTAACTGTGAAAATAAATGAGTGATTGTTTTTTATCGAATTTCAGTTTTTATAGTTATGATTTTAACATCTTTTAATTTTATAGCGCAGTCAAAGGGTTAAATAAAAAAATAAAAAAACTATCATCTTTGATTTAAGCATAAAAATATATACTTGTCTTTGAGAATCATTAAAATATGCTGGGACTGTAACAACAGCATTTTTAACAGTTGAACCCAAATAACTTTCTAAAAATATAAAATTTGTTTTAAGTTAGTTTGATTATATAACATAAATATATAAAAATTTTTATATATTAAAAAATAATAATAAAAAGACAATTATTAAAAGTGGTTATGAAAGATATGATATAAGAAAATGTTTTGAAGTAAATATAAAGCATTTTTATTCTCTTTTCCTTTGTAGGAAAACAACCTGGATTAAAGTCATTGTTTTGAAAAATAGACTGCGTAAAATACTTATACTATGCCAACCTAAATCCGCAGAAAAATAAATATTTACACATAAAATGAAACTACCTGCAGTTTCTTTCATTTTAGTTAAAACGAAAGCTCCTGTCTGACTCGGTGAGTATGTTTTTCCATGGGCTTGAAACCAAACGTCTCCATTTGATGCTTTAACTAACTTGTAAGGAACATTTTTTCTAAATAAAATATTTATATTTATTAAGGAACATTTTTTCTAAATAAAATATTTATATTTAGATAATATTTTAATTACAATAACTATATAGTCAGTAATAAAACTTTCCTCCATAGCAACACCAATTGCAAAGTGGTACAGAGTTGTGAGTCAAGTTAAAATCATTATCAGAAAAAAAAAATCCACATTTTTTTGTTGAGATTGATCAACTGTCAAATTATATTCTGACCATTAACTAGCAACTGCAGAATTAAAACAACGAAAAAAGAAACTTTTTTTTTTTTTTTTTTTTTATTGCTAACTGTTTGTTGACATCATATTATAGAGTACTTACAAAGTAAGTTCCTTTTAAGCAAAATTTGTCTTATTGTTAGTAATTATTTTTGTTTTAAGTTCTACACTTGATTGGATGGGTTTTCATAATGCTTATATCTGAACTTTTATTCTCCTAGGTAAGTCACAGGATTGACTATCCCAAAAAGCATCAGTTTAACATCATAACAAGAATTTGCAAACAATAAATGCAAAAAAGCTGAAACGAGTAGAATAGCAACAAACCTTATCCCTACATTTGCAGAGGCATAATTGGCAACTAAATGCTGTACCTTATGAAACTAAATACATAGATCATCCAGGTCTTATTTGAAAAATCCAGAAAATTGTTTCTGTAAAAAATCCGCAAAATGTTTGGAATATATTTCCCTAATTATCCTCTTAATTTTGCTTTTAGCAGAGTTGTTTCAAAAAATTTTTCAAAACTTTTTATAATTTTTTTATTAGTGATAAGTGAAAAAACATTTAAAAAAATCTAAACTTGTATGTATGGAAAACGTTTTGGAAAATTGAGAAAAATATTTGGAATTTAGGAAATATCCAGAAAAAGATAATCCTTGTAAATAAAATATTTTAACAACAGAAAGAAACTTGCACACATACTACATATTCTTATATGTAAAGTTATAATTTAACTAAAATTGATATTTTATTTGGCTAAGATAAAATAAAAAGAATTTTTATATTATCTGTACACTAAAATTGACAAGTTATCCTAGAAATATGCTATATAACAATTGACAAGGGTTGAATTAAGGCATCGCGATTTGCGATATCTGTTAAATTATCTGGTCTTCAAAGTTTCAGTTTATGGAAAACCACGAAATTTACGGAATAGGCGAATAAACTTTAATTTGTTAGTGAAAATGTTATGAAAAACAAAACAATAAATTTATGACTACAAAAGTAATAACACTACAGTGTTGTTACTTTTATAACACTCTTTTAAGTTACATTTATAGTTTATTGTTTGATCAAACAACACATAATCAAGCTATTATAAATAAAAATGACTTAGTTAAGTAATTCCAAACTTTAATTAAAATAGTAATGCATCTAAAAAAAATACAACGGATATTTAAACAATGTTAAAAACCTAAGCAACTTTTAGAAATACATATTTTTATAAACAGTTAAGCATTTCTAAACATCTTACTAACGGTCCGGAAAAAACGCGCGTTCACTTTAAAATCAACCAATGAAAACACTGGTAATTTACAAAATTTCCCCCCTCCCCCGCACAATTTTCAAACTGAGCCCCACATCGCCCATGCAACCTAAAATTAGATTAAAAATAAGACACTTTTTGTCTGCTACACCCCCCTCCCCCCCGCAGTTTTGCCACTGAGAGTAGTACTGACATTTACTTAAAACTAAGAACAGAGGTGTTCAATTTAATAAATTTTAGTTATAAAGAAGTATATTTAGAAATATATTTTTTTGTCTTTACTTTTATTATGATTTAATTGATAAAATAATAAAAACAAAATTTAAGTTTATAGCCTCCTCTCCCCCCCTCCTCCCCCCTTTTAATATAGATTTCTTCTAAGAAGTAAATTACCAGTGTTTTCATTGGTTGATTTTAAAGTGAACGCGCGTTTTTTCCGGACCGTTAGTAAGATGTTTAGAAATGCTTAACTGTTTATAAAAATATGTATTTCTAAAAGTTGCTTAGGTTTTTAACATTGTTTAAATATCCGTTGTATTTTTTTTAGATGCATTACTATTTTAATTAAAGTTTGGAATTACTTAACTAAGTCATTTTTATTTATAATAGCTTGATTATGTGTTGTTTGATCAAACAATAAACTATAAATGTAACTTAAAAGAGTGTTATAAAAGTAACAACACTGTAGTGTTATTACTTTTGTAGTCATAAATTTATTGTTTTGTTTTTCATAACATTTTCACTAACAAATTAAAGTTTATTCGCCTATTCCGTAAATTTCGTGGTTTTCCATAAACTGAAACTTTGAAGACCAGATAATTTAACAGATATCGCGATGCCTTAATTCAACCCTTGATTGATTGAGAAACTAAAAAATTATATTATTAAAAACTTAATTTAAGTATTTTGTTGATATTATAAATTATATTATTAATTTCTAAATGTTTAATTTATAACATATAATTATCAACTTGCTTGATAAACAATTTATTTGTCAAAAAATTTTTATCCGAGATATAAATTACCAAATGCAGATAACAATGTTATGAAAACGATTAAAGTCTAAGAAATTTTTTTTTTTTTTTTAATTTTAATTCACCTCCTCAAGGCCGAGAAGGCCACTACTGACGAGGAGGCTACTTATTTGTGGCTATAACCCTCTCTCAACTCTATAACTCCGAAACACGAACATTGATGAACAAGGCCGCTGCGCGGAGAAACGAGTTGAGCGCGGTACTACCAGGGACGTGGCGAGGATCGAACTCCGAACCACTCGTTTATGAAGCGAGCGCTCTACCACTACACCACTACCGCAATAATGATAGCACAAACTATCATGAATTAAAACTTGAACAATCATTTCACAGAAAAGGCTGTGTCAATTTCATTAATTTGCATAATTATTTAAATAAGCTTTTCTTAAAGCAGGAAGAAAACAGTAAAAACAGTTATTAAGGCAGAAAAAGAGATTTAAAATGTTGTCAATGCAAGAGTAAAAATAAGAGGATAAAAAAAAAAAAAGTGATGAGGTAATAAATGGAGGTAATTCAAATATTTATAAAAGTATAAAAATATCTCACAACTCCTGTCTTCATAAGAAGTTGGAAAATTATTTAGCCATGGTAATATTATACCAAGCAACAAAAAATTGAATAAAGTCAGATAAGATAAAATGCTATGTTTATTCACTGTAACATTGAGTTAAATAATTTTAAATGAAAAGTTATTTAAATTTTTAACAACAACAAAAAAAATTTCTTTGTAAAGAAAATATCAAAAATATTATCATAAAGAAATAGGAAAAAAACTATAATTAATAAAAACTTAATTTGATTTTATTTTTTTTTAATGTTTGATATTTTATAATATACTTATAAAAACTTTTAAGCCATTTGATAACAAACAAATGAACTTTTATAACAAAATTAACTTTTATAAATAACTTTTTTATTAGTAAAAATTTATTTTTACAAATAACTTAAACTTGTTGTTAAAACTTTAGTGTTATTTAATTAGGATATTAATGGTATAAACCATGGTATATTATGAATTGGACTTTTTTTGAAAAAAAGATAAGAAAATCAAGTTAACAATTATAAATCAAAATTTGGAATAACCAAACTATATAAAGAAATAAGCTCATTAGCTTTAGTTTATAAGAATTAGAAAAATATAGCCTGTGACAGGTACTCAGAACCGGTTTAATCACAGCTGGCATACAACAGTTCAAAAACACCTTATGGGTATTTATCAAGCCACTAAAACTATGGTTAAATAAGTCAATGTAACAATTTTTCAATCCAATTTGATTGAATTTTAATTTGAAATTCAATCAATTTATGCATTCTAAACAACTTAAATAAAACAACCACAATAAAAAATATATATATATATTCTTACATATCTTTTTGAACTTCAGGGTCGTCAAATCTTCTGCCAATGTATCGCTTGGTAGCATATAATGTGTTTTGAGAGTTAGTTACAGACTAGACATTACAAAAAAATAATTTCAAAAAAAATATCTTCAAGCTGATTAATATTAAACCTATTATATTGATAGAAAAAAAATTTATTTCTTTATCATTAAATTTGTTAGGTTTTACACACAAAAAATATGATTCTATAGAAATCATTACAGTAAAATAAATTAATTTTTTTATTGATTTTTTTTTCCCTATGTAAACAACAGTCTAATCTTTCACTTTAAAAAATACTTTTTTTTATTTTTTAATGTAAAGACTGAAGTGGTCTTCATGACATCCCCTAGGTCACTACAGTCGAGGAGGCTAATTTATTGCCATTATAACCTTTTCTAAACTCTTCAACTCCAAAACACAAACCTTGACAATTTAATCAAGTGGGGATCAAATTTAGAGAATCTCACGAAGAAAGTGCTCTACCACTTTTCAGATTTTTTATCAAATATCAGTCCAGATTTTTTATCAAATATCAGTCCCTGTTTATTTCTAACAATTAAAACAGCTTTTGCTATATTTAGTCTTATCCATAGGGACTCAATTATTTTTCAATGATTAATAGAATGATTATCACCATCTAAAAATTTGAGATTTATAGTAACCTCAACCTTTGCTTACATATTACTCAACACCTTTTGTTTAACATTCTAACAATTTGATTTAAAGGGACTACCAAGTCCCAAGACGTGTTGTGTTCATATTAAAGAGAATGTTAAAAAAAAAAACATCTGAGCAAATTTTTTTTGATTAAAACTAATTAATAAATGTATACCAAGAAAAACAAAGTTTGTTGTTTTAGTCGAAGCTTGTCTTCTTTATTTTCTGAGGTATTTGGAGTGTGTAAAACAAACACGATTTTCCAGGCGCATTATACAGACTTGATAATTTATTCAAGTGCGTTTAATTCATAGAAGTTTTAGTACATGATGTCATAGATTTTTTTGTTTGTTTGTTTAAAACACTAATTATTATTTTTTACATGCAATTTTCAAATCATATTCATTTTTATTACATTTTAAAGTTCTAAAATGTGTTTGTAAAAAAATTTAAAAAAAAATATATTAGATAAAATAATTTTTAACCTAAATAATAACACACTTTTATTAATTTACTTTGTACATATTAAAAAAAAAATTATTAACGCATTTTTCTCTGATTTTCAAAAATGAATTTTTTGGTATTGAGGTGATCTTATTTCATTATTTATATTTCCATTATTATAACATCCAATATATATTATGGGGGCTTAAAAATTAAAAAATTAATATATATTAACTTTTATTTTACAGACATACATGGAAACATAATTAACTTTAATGTTTTTAAACATCTTCCGGAAGAATAAAAAGAATATTCGCTAACACTAAAAACTCGCCAAATTTCCAAACAAACTAATTCTATTGGTTCAAAAAATACGCTGACAAAACGAAATAAAGTTCTATAGTATTCTGTTGAAATGTTTTAGGAATTGTATTAATTACGATTTGTTGCATTTTGAGATATCTAGCATAAATTTTTTTAAGAATATGTTATCAAATGAACTATTACTTTAATATAATTACAAATTATATGTTTTATTAGTATATTCTGACTTTTTATATCTTTTCCTAGTGCTTGGTTTAATTAATTGTTCGTTAGATTTGTCAAAACAACTTGCATCAAAATGTAAAGAACACACCCGTGAATCATCGGAGATATTATATAACTCGATTTGGCGCCATAGGGGTCCCTAGGTCCACAATCGCCGTGGCCCATGTAGCCACAGCTCTGATAGCTACAAAAAAACATGAAGTTTTTTTTAATATGAAGATTTAAAAAATAAAATAACTAATTATAGTTAGTTATTTTAGTAAAATTTAATAGTAAAATTTATAAAGAATTTCTAGAATGTTTTTAATGACGTCATGTACTAAAACTTCTATAAATTGAACGCACTTGAATAAATTATCAAGTCTGTATAATGCACCTGGAAAATTGTGTTTATTTTACAGACTCCAAATACTGCAGAAAATGGAGAAGACGAGCTTCAATTAAAACAACAAGATTTGTTTTTCTTGGTATACATTTAATAATTAGTTTTAATCAAAAAAAATTTGCTCAGACGTTTTTTTTTAACATTCTCTTTAATATGAACACAACATGTCTCAGGACTTGGTAGTCCCTTTAAGAACAACAATTTAACTGATAAAAACTTTCTTTAAAAGTGACCACTTAACCAGCTTTTTTTTTTTTAAAGACATAACCTTAGTGAATGTTTTCCTTTATTACACAAAGTATCATACTTAATTAACTTAGTAAAACTTATATTACTTATTTATATTAACTAAAGTAACTTTGCAAAAATTATATTTCTTATTTTATCCTGTTGAAATTTTCAAAAATAATAAAACTGTAATATATAAAATAACTAATAAAGTAATAAACTAATAAAGCTAGTAATATGTGCAGTAATATGTGTATAATATAATGTGCAGTAATATGTGTATAATATAAGTAATATATACAGAAACTGTGGCTCGAATTATGATTGCAAACTGCGACATCTACAAATGATTATGGTTTTTAAATTTCGAGTTTTTTAAAAATCATAAATTTTTTATCACTTGACACAATAGTTGTTATTATATAAAAAATGTTAATGCATCGATCATGAAATTGTGATATAAAATTAACTATTATTATTATTAAAAATTTTGATTTAAACTTTAACATTCATTTAACAAATTACCAGATTATCAAATTACTAAAAAAAATGCATAAAGTGCAATGTAATATTAAAAATGAAACAACTGAAACTGAACTTAATTTTATAAAAAGATTCAAGGAAACCTAGGATGATATTTATTATAACAACTGAAAACATGGCATTACAAGAATCAATAAAATGAAAAAATTGGGTGAAGAAAATACATATAAAGTGGAGATATTTGAAACTGCAGGCTTGGTCAGGAAGGCATGCAATCGCACATCATTATATGACCACGCAAATAATACTTTATTTTGACAATTTGACCACGATTTTTAACATTTTAAAAATGCGCTAAAAAATTTTTTTTAATTACGTCAAAAATAAATAACTTTAAAACTTTTATCTTTACTAAATTACTTATCTTTAACAGGGTTCCCACTATTAAAACTAAGGCTAAAATTAAGGATTTTAAGAAGATTTAAGGAGATATTTTCCTAATATTTAAGGAGATTTGGTCGCAATGGAACAACATTTTTTTGAAAGAAAAAGTAAGGATAATTAAGGAGAAAACGATTACATTAAAAACATAATCTTACTTTTTTCAATAAATTTTTAATATAAACATATATATATATACATACATATATATATATATATATATATATATATATATATATATATATATATATATATATATATATATATATATATATATATATATATATATATATATATATATATATATATATTATATATATATATATATATATATATATATATACTATTACTACTTTATATTTATATATATATAAATTTTAATATATATAATAACAAAAATAGGTTTGAAAACTATCAAAAATCTATATATCATCTTTATTATTAACAAGTATAATCCATTCACTTTAAAAAAATTTTGTAGATGAATAAAACAAAAAAAACAAAAAATAAGGAGAAATTAAGGAGAGCAGTCAAATTTCAACTTTTTTTAAGGTTATTAAAGGACATTTAAGGAGGTTTTTATTTTTTAAGGATATTTAAGGTTTTTAAGGAGGTGTGGGAACCCTGTTTAAGTTAATACACTCAGATTTGATTGAGAAGAAAAAAAGACGAACTTTTGAATTAAAGACAGCTATTTGAATTAAATAACTTTGATCTTTACTAATGTTTTTATATTATTAATACGCTTTTAAGTAACAATTCATTGCTAATGATTTTTTACATAAAGTATTAATATATTTTTATTTAGTCTATAAATAAAATTTATATATTTTTATATTTAAAAATTATTGTATAATTTAAAAAAAATATAATTATTGTATATTTAAAAATTATTGTATAATTAATATACTCGAAATATAACAAATTTTTTTTTGCAAAAAAAATGTAAGTTAAAAAAAATGTATATATAAAATTTTTTATAATAATTTTTTTTCTTTAGTCTTTAAATAAAAAAAACTATCAATTAAAGTTAACAAATTAAATTATTAACAACAATTAAAGAAAAAATTTTGTTTATTGTTTTTTGTTTTTATCTTTATTTTTCCTCATTTGTTTTCTGACATTGGATTTCTGACATAATAAATGGTTTAAATATTACTAGCAGTAAGCAACCCGTAATACGCATTGTTAGTAAATAAAATTAAAAACCGCATATAGAAAAGCCTAGAAAATGACGTTATTTGACTAATAATATTAAATTAGCGTATTAATATTATCAGATTCTTTTTTTGACATTACTACGAAGAATTGTAAAGTTTTTTTTTTGCAGTTGTTATCTTTTAAATGTGCGTATATATTTAAAAATCATTGGAACTTGTTACTTTATTTAAAAGGGTTTTGCTTAGTCTATATAATAATAAAAAAACATGTTATTTTTGTTCGTAAGTCACTTGTCATTTTCATGAAACTCCCCCCCCCCCCCCCTGCATCCAAAAAAAAGCGTAATTGAAAAAAATTTCCTCCATTAAGATTAATCGTTTTTTTTTTTAAATACCACTAATGCGCAATGATGTTTTTTATTTTTTAACTATTAATATAATTTTATATGGTGCTGTAACAAAGCAGACAGGACACTACTAATTTTACATTATAAAAACATTAGTTAAAGTTTTAAGTTATTTATTTCAAATGTAATTATAAAGGTAATTTGAATAATCTTATAGTTCTTTATTTATATTATTTATGCTTTGCTTTTGTTTTGTTTTTTATTTTTGTTTTAGTTATTTATTACTAAGCTATTTTTTATTTTACTTTTTATTATTTTTTTAAAAATTTTTTTAAGATAAGTTCTTCAGTGCTTTATTAAAATGTTAAAACTGTGGTCAAATCGTCAAAACAAAATATTATTTGCGTGTTTATATTAAGCCGTGAAGTCGAAAAAAAAAAAGAACAGCATCTATTAACCTAAACAGATGAGATATGTCAGTCACTCTGAGCTTGCTTGCCACAAGTAACATTTTAAATTTTACTAAAAACTGTGGGTTCAAACATACAACAATAAAGAAGTGTAATAGCAAATCGCTTGGCTTGTCATTTAGCAAAGTCATATAATTTCCTATATTTGTCTCTGCTATAAAATTTTATTTATATAATTTATTTCCTTGCACATATACAAACCATCAAAACTCTGTCCAATCTACATCTTCGAAATTTGGAATCAGCATCGACCAGAGAAGAGGAAAAAAAAAAAATTTTTTTCTCGCTATTTACTGTGGTTGTTTTCGGTAAAATGGGTTTTACCGTAAAACATTGGAGTTAGGAATATAATTTGTTGCAACTTTTGTTTATTTTTTAATTTAAGGAGGGGGGGTAAGGATGGTGGATGTATAATGCACTCATACATGAAAATCTTGTAAAACTTAAGTTTTACTGCATGTATCGTAAATAGTGTTCTAATTTAACTTATTTAATATAAATAAACAATCACCACCACGTCTTCCTTCAACTCTAAGATACAATTTTCATAATTATTTGAAGTCTACAATAAAGCTTAAAAACTTCTTGTATGAATACTCTACAAGTTTTGTGAAAAAAAAATTTTCTAAAAGAAATATGCATTTTTATATGGTAAAGGTGGGGGTTTGGCACCCTCTCTATCTTCAAAGATACACCTAGTGATAGGAAGCAAATCTATATCCTAATGTTACAACTACCTTTTGATAACAACATATGAGTATGACAAAGATATAACAATTAGGATAAATAAAAACTAAATTTTGACTACAGTATTATCAACAAATTTGCTTGTTGCGCTTTCGTGTTGTTGACTTGATCAAAGTGGAGACTTTTATAAACAAATTGAGTATTTATTGGCTTAAATACATACATCAACTATCTTATAGAATAATGCTACAAGGGAGTTGCTAAATTGACTGAGAGTTTGGCATGGGGCAGCAATCTTTTTTCTTTAAATATAATCTTTTTTCAAATAATATTACTAATGTTTAAAATGCCCCCACTGACGAGAGCACATTAAGTGAAAAAATAGAAAATTATGAATACTGAATTAAAGAGCTTTCTAATGATATATAACATTCAGCAGACATTTATTTCAGACACCCACCTTTAGTAACTTCGTAAAAAACGCTTATACGAAACAAGTATTGCTGAAAACCATAACATAACTTAACCCCAACTTTGAAACTTAGGGTTAGGCTCTGGATTCGGTTTAGGTTTGGCATAGGGTTTGGTTTGGTAAGGCTTTCAATAAAATAAGCTATACTTTTGGGTTCAGGGTAAGAATATAATTTTCAATAAATGTCATGCATAAAATGTGACTAGTTTTTTACGAACTTCTAAAGGGAGGTGTCCAAAATACACATCCCCCTAACATTCTAGTATTTGATTATTTTGAAAAAACTACTCCACGTATACCAACCATTCTAAAATTATGGCACATATATTTATGATTTTTTTTTTAATTCTTTAAAAAACTTGAAAAACTGAATATTTTAAATAAATTACTAAATACACTTAATAATAAATACCTGTCTTTTTGCTGGTGCTCCAACTAGTCTTTCTCCATCAGGTAAAAATGCAATAACCGAGGGAGTTGTACGAGAGCCTTCAGAATTTTCTATCACACGCGGAGAAGATCCTTCCATAACAGCCACACAAGAATTAGTAGTTCCGAGATCAATTCCAATGACATTTCCTTGCACTGAACTATAAAAGTTCAATAATTGATAATTTATAAAATACCCTTAGATTAACTATGTATAAAGTTGAAGATCGCACTAAGAAGTGAATACCATAGTGGAAACTAATTTCATATCATTACATCACCATTTATGAAATACTAAAGCTGTTCAGATCGTACTATAACCCAAAAATAGATAAAATATCTTTTAATTACATTTTTAGAACAAACTTACGCATATGCTCTCTTTAAAATAATGTTCTGACAATTGACTGAAGCACTTGGGAAGAATGCTTTAAAATAAACATTATTAAAAATACTTCCAGATTTCTTTAGAGTTGATAGCATATTTATAAATTTTGATATAACGTTAGTCAAGTATTTGGTATTAGTTAACGTATTCACACTGACTTTCTCGATTGTTCCTCCAAAGTTTAGCTTATGCAATAAAATTATACAGAATCAGCATTCTTAATTTAAATTTCGCCTGAAATACACACTCGCAAATTAAATATTAAAGTATAATATGTCAGTTTTATTTTAGAGTGTGTGAGTTTGTCGTTGGGAGCACATGGTCAGTGTTTCGCATTCTAAAAAATACAACAAGAGCCTTTACAAAACCAGCAATCTTTTATTTTTTTTTATTGACGAATTTACTTATGCCAGGTTAATTATGCCATTTTAATTTTTACTTATGCCAGTTTAATTTTTAACTTATGCCAGTTTAATTTTTAAACGTTTTAATTTTGTTTATTGCCTTTTACCCTTGCCGGACAAAACTTACTTTGACGTCAAAGTAAGTTTTGTCCGCCAAGGGTATAAGGCAATAAACAAAATTAAAACGTTTAAAAATTAAACTGGCATAAGTGCAAATCCTATGCCAATATTTTCAAATGCTTTACAGGCACTTATGCATTTTTTTTTGTTATTTTTTCTACGCAAAGTACGCCAGTTCACACATTTGCCAGTTAATGCTTCTTACCTTTGCTAGTTTGCATTTATGTCAACATTTGCTAATTTATTTAGCGTATTTAAGCAGAATCGAACTTATACCAGTTTGCACTTGAGCCATTTTTTGAAACTGCTTTCCTCATATGCTATTTTGCACTTATGTTCGTTTGCACTTATGGAAATGTTGTCAAGTTCTTACTGCGCACTTTTGCAAGTTCGCAACTGTAATGAAATATGCACTTATCCAGTCACTCCAATCAAAACTGTTTTAGTTTAGCACGGAAAAAAAAGTTTTTAATCCTGGTTGGAACAACGTTTTATAAAATTTGTTGGAACAACGAGTTCTACAATTCTGATAACTGGTCGAAACAACGAGTTCTATAACTTTGATAACTGGTTGTAAACTTCCCTTTGAAATTATGCGCAATCCTAAATCACAAACATTTTTTTTATTTTAGAAAAAAGATAACAAGAAAAATTAATTTTTCTTCCAGGTGTCCTGTTCCATGCTAACAAGAAGTTTTTGAGTTAATGAAACTATATTGGAGCTTTAAAAAAAACATAAGTTTAAAAAAGTTTTTAGATCTTCTGACGGTACATACAAACGGAGCACATAATATGCAATTATTTGTCATCTTGAATGATTTAGAACTCCTCAAAGATATTGTACCAATAATACCAACCATTTACCAAAAGAGTATATTTTTGATTGTTTGTAGGAAAATCAACTTATGTTTTTAAAAAGGAAACACAGTCAATTGTTGGCATTTGATGATAACAATAGGTCCAGCGAATGCACGAGGCCATTTGTAGGACTATTTAAATAATGGAATAAATGAACCATTATTAAAGCCATAAAACTCACATAATAACCACTGTAGTGGCTGTAGTCAGTTTTATGGTAACAAATGATTTTATGATGACACAATTGGTTCGCCCGCATTTGACAATTGAGCCAATGCATCGAATTTGTTTAACGAAATTATTAAATGAATTTATTTAACGAACTTACTTAACGAAATTTTATTTACGCAGAAATAATATATAATACCAATTTTAATTTTAACAATTAATTCCTATTAGATCCCAGATAGCATAAACACGTTGGCCCGACATAATTATAAGAATAAAAAATGGCAGTGAACTATTTTTTATTATTAGGTTTAAGTTTTTACGTTGTTTTTTTTTTTTTTTTTTTTTTTTTTGCGTTGTTTTTATTACATTTTTTTGTTATGGTTAAGCATTGTAAGTATTAGATATGGAAGAGAACCACGTTCAATAATTTTGCTTGAATTTGTTAAAAATTTTTTACTTGCTTTACAAAACAGTTATTTATAATTTTATAGGTCTTTTTCTTTTTTAACGACGCTATGGTAATTTGCTTAAATACCGCGTACTTTTGAAAACAAACTGTTTGTTATGAAAGTTAGTGATAAAAGTATTAATATATGGAAACAGTTTGCATCACGAGAAGAAGTAGTTTAATATCATTGAAACAGTTTTTATCACGCGAAGAAGTGGGCGAAAGATTTATTTTAGTTAAAATAGTCAACACAAACAAATCGTAAGTTTCTTGAAATGTTTTTTATACAATTTATTTTACAGACGTGAGGCAGACGTAGTTTTGAGGAGCTTCTTTTTAGAAACATATATACACATAGATACTTTTTGGAAAGAAGAAAAGCTAATCTTGATTTTTCAAAGACTTTTAGATATGGTTACTAACTTTTTTTACGGAATATTTTGCTTCTGAATATCAGGTTGATGTTCTCATATGAATTTGTGGTCGAAGATATGACGAAGTGACGGAATGGCTTTAAAACGCAAAAGATAGGAGCCAAGGTCGCGCAAAGCGGGGAAGATTAGAGTTGATCGACGATGTTGCAAATAATGTAGAAGACGAATAAAAACTATTTGCCACGATTGCAATATCGTAAAAAAATATTATCTTGGTTATATGAATATTTTTTAATTTCATTTTTTAATAGTATTAAATATATATATATATACATACATATATATATATATATATATATATATATATATATATATATATATATATATATATATATATATATATATATATATATATATATATATATATATATATATATATATATATATATATATATATAAATTTGTGAAAGATTTTGCATTAATGTTTTATTTCCAGATTAATATATTAATTTGCTTTTTAGAGGAAGTAAGATATATTCTGATTAAGAACAATGTTTCATTAAACAATGAAGATTCATAAAGATGACAAATGTCCTTCGATGCAGAAACACCCTAGTTATAACTAATAACATTAAATCTACTGTATAATTGGCAAACTGTTTACCGACATGCTTTGAAAGTTGGTGAAATATTTGCTGTTTACTATTTTTTATATTTTTATTATTTAAATTGTATAAAAAATAGTAAAGATAATAATAGAAAAACAAATAATTATTTCATTGTTTTATTTTGTGTTTTTTGATAATATCCCATTCTATTTTATAACCGCTCTGAATAATCGTCGCACTTGTTATCTCATTTATTGATCAAAATTAAAGATGGGTAATGTCCTTTTACTGATTTCGACCCGACGTCATTTTACTGATATTGGCCCAACGTCGTTTTACTGATAACAGCCCGACGACATTGGGCCTACATCATTCTAATGAGCAAAAACTACGTTGGCCCGACGTAGTTAAACTACCATCGGCCGCTGTAAAAGCCTACGTAGTACCGACGTCGAGCCAACGTGTATATGTTATCTGGGATGGCAGTGCATTACTAATGTACGTTGAACTAGACTCTTGATCCAGGCTTTTCTCTGTGCGCCAAGTGCTCTGTAGTGAGTGTTTGATGGTAGCGTTTGCTAAATTGTTTGCATTTTTTTTTTTTATCACTAAAAATATACACTTAAATCCTTTGTCACAGAATCATTGTACAACATTTAACTGGTCTCGAATAATTCATTATCTTATGTTGCATCTTATTATGGTTAATAACATTAAAATAATCTTCTGTTGTTACTGGTACAAAACCGCTGATTCTACGACTGCAGCCAATTTGTCAGAAAGCTTTTGATTTTGTTTGGTAATTGATCAAAGGAATTAAATACACTATCTTCAATTAAAGAAACTGCAAGTTCTTGTTAAAAGTGTTAGATCATAAATATGCACGTTTTAATACTGGTATCAGATATTTTTACATACTTTTCAGTTCTTTAAACTTTTTCAAATTTTCTTGTCTGATATCGTCTATTTTTTTTCTGTGTCATTAAACATTTTTCAAAGTTTTTGTGGTTCATTAGAAACGCTTTTTCTACATTCGAAACTTTACGTACTTTATAAACAGTTACAATAGGAACTTTACGTGTTACAAACACTTTTTTTTTTTTTTTTTGTCTCTTCGAATTTTTGATTTTTACTTCTTTTTATATCTCTTGTCACCATTTAAGACTTTAAACGATTTAGTCAGCTTTATATGCTGCCCTTAACCCAGGACCTTAATTTTATTACGTATTCGGTATTACTGAAATCGACAATTTTAACCAAATTTCATTTAATATTTTCAAAATTTTAAAAAATCATATTGAGTTAACATCATGTGGGTCAATACATAATTTAGTGAAAAAAATAAATTTCTTCAATTCAACTTATTTTTCTGTCAGAAAATTTTGTTTTTTTATATTTTAAAATACAAAAAATATAAAAGTTTAAGCAGTAGAGCTTCAAGAAATTTTAAACTATTTTAGAACAATGCTTTAAAAAATAGGATTTGTCACCACCGTCACCACCAAAAAACAAATGTAACTAACGATTATGTTATGCAAACTAACTTTACATGTTATCAGTTATTTATTTTTTGATAATAAATCAAAATTTAAAACTTTATAGATTCATATATGAATCTATTTTAAAAAGCTAAACTATAAGTTTCTTTTATTAAATTGAGACGTTGCATGGCCTACTTAAATACACGGTCAGTTGGAGTTCTTGCTTTCCAAAAAAATATATAACTAGAAAAAAATAGTAATATATATATATATATATATATATATATATATATATATATATATATATATATATATATATATATATATATATATATATATATATATATATATATATATATACATATATACAAGGCCGGCGCGATAGGGGTGTGTGTGGGGGGGAGGGGAATGAATTTCATTCATCTATCAATGATTTTTAGTCGGCAAATTAGACCCTTAGTCGGCAAATTGGACTCTTTTAGACTAGTTAGTCGTTAAATGTCGACCCTTTCGTTAGAGGTTAGTCAGTAATCTAGACAGTCGGCAAATTGTCATGGCAGTCGGCAAATTTGGAAAAACGAGGATCTTTTTTTTTTTTTAAGTCGGCAAAATGTATTGGCACTCCCCCCCCCCCCAAGTGACACCTACTCGCGCCGGCCCTATATATATATATATATATATATATATATATATATATATATATATATATATATATATATATACAGCTATGAAAAAACATTACAAATATAAATAATAACAAAAAATACATTTTATA